CTATGATTCTGTATAAAGCCCCGGAACTCAGAGCAAAAAAGGGGCTCAGGGAAAGGCAGCAAGGAACAGGAAGGAATAAGCCTTGGTTGCTGTGTAGAGGGTCCCTGAGCCAGAACTCTGAGTACAGGGTGGGCCCAGGTTCCCCTGCTAGCCACTGAAGGTGTGGTACCGGGGTCAGTGAATGGGAGGAGTTCCTGAGACTGCTGGTGAGCAGTAACTTTAATGCACATCTCCCCCAGAAGGGGAAACCACAGAGTGACCTGGACAGAGGGCCAAGTCATGAAGAGGATGCTGCAGTTCCTGGAGCAAGAGGGGGGCCACAGAGCAGAAAGAGATGGAAGGGGCATTGGCTGCACAGAGCTAATCCCCACAACAGTCAGGAGGTGGTGCCATCCCACAGTGAGTATAGGCCCCCAGTCACACTGCTAAATTTAGTGAGATCCAGGTTATCCCCTGTATGACCCTGATCCACAGCCTGTCAATTTCCTTGGCCTTTTGATCATGCCCAGCATGTGCAGTTTGCACAGGCTTAAACTGTGAGCTATAAACTGCACACACTTTTTCCAAGATTGCCAAATATAAGAGAGGTCAGATTAGTGTATGGGCTTGGATTCTGTCCTGCAATCTCTTAGGCCAGATCTGTTCCAACTTCCCTTTGGTTTGCATTTGTGGGAAATCCCTTTCTTGTACCTGGCCTTCACTATTGCCAACATTTCAAGATAAACCAGAATGTTGAAATGTTCCTTAGCAAAACTAAAACTCCTGTTTACTGGAATGTGATATGGATGAGAAACGGGATGTCATGTTACTCAATGGATACCATATAAATGGAGGGTTGAACTCTTATTAAAGCATTCCTGTAATGCTTCTGTAGAGCACCAGAAATTACAGAGTAAGTGACTGGATATCATCAATGCTGTTACTTTTAATTCTGTCCTTTAATGATTAAGTTGCATTCAGCATGTAGCACAATTTATATTTTGAGTTTATTTTAAAATATTATTTATGTAATATTATGTGACTCTCTGAATACTTCTACCGTATATGATGTTGAAATTTAACATAGCAGGTTGCATTGTATTAAATGAATTTGAGTAATGCATCTCTTGCTTATTAAACAGATGGTGTACTTCTAGGTTTGATTTTAATCATTTCAGAGAAACTTGTCAGTGCGTAGTTAACCCTTTTCATGCTTGGGTGAAATGTATGTACAGTAGAAGCAAATTCTGGTATGTTTGTTAATTTCTTGGCTGCCAGTTACTAAAATACACCGAGTTTATCAACTGGCTTTTAGTGCAGTGCCTTTCTGAACAAATCAAACCTTTGATCTCTTCTGATATTTTTCTGTAACTGGGTATTTAGCAAAAATGGGAGAAATCCACTACGTTAACCATCAATCCCCGGATCTTAAGGGCCCAATTGTCACTTTTTGGCCCAGCCTGTTTAAAGGGTAGTGACTCAGCAGGAGATTCTTGGGACCATTATGTTCCAGCGGGCACAATTGATGCAGGACCACAGGAGAACTATAGTCACTGAGCTACCTTTGAACAGGGTGCAGCTTGTGCTCCTTAGAACCCTTTCTGCTGGCTGATGTGGGGGAAAGAGTCATGACTCTGACCCTTTCCTAAATCCTCCAAAGCAGCCTCTGCCCACATCAACATTTGTGTGACCAGGACTGCAGTTGTGTCCTGAATTACAGGGACAGCAATCCTGTCCAGCCCGTGTGCCCACTTCCCCAGCATGCACAGTGCACCTGAGCAGGGCTCAACCCAGCTCACTCTCTAGAAAAACAGTAGCTCAGCTCACTTAAATCTTAAGAATTATGGCCTGCTCCAGCAGATGTATTCTGCACAGGAGGACCTCTGCACCTACCTGCAGCCCCATTGGCTGCAGTGGGGAACCACATAGGTGCCCGTCCACATGGGATAAGGAACAGGATCAGGTCTCAAGTGTTTGCAAACACTTAAATAGTGGATGGCACAATGGGACTTAAATTTAGTTCATTCTGGTTTTGCATGGTGAATAATTTAACAAAGGACAAACTTTTAAAAACGTTTCTTTAAGATCTGTCCAGAATTTAATAAAGTGTTTTCCATGAGCACTGATGCTTTATGTAAAATAATGACAAACCAAGATAAATGAACTAGAATGTAGGCATTGAACATTACTTTGTTTAATCAGTTTGCACTACAAAATATAAACTGATTACATGGAATCAAAATGTTCTTAGGGTAACTCTGTGATTTTTTTTTTCAATAAGTCAGACACCTGAACAATGCTGCTACTTCCAACACTGATCACTTTTGCTCTGGGAATATCCCTGTTGAAAACATCAACTGCAAATCCAAGCCAGAGTGTTCAAAAATGGGATCTAAGTGCATGTGCAGTAGTTGTATGTGGACCTGCTCAGAACGGATTACCAGGCAGAGATGGAAGAGATGGGAAAGAAGGCCCTAAAGGAGAAAAAGGAAGTCAAGGTATAGAAGTATTTACTTCCTAATGTTATGCTTACTATTCACACGTCTGTCTGGTATTATTTTTCAACCATTACTCATTTAAAAGATGCTTCCTAGAAACCATTTAGCTCTGCAAAACTTGTACAAAAAGATGCAGCTAATCATACGTTATGTAAAACCTGAAGGTCCTTATGTTCCTACTGGTAATTACTGAAGGCTGGGATAGAGCTGACAGTATTGTTCATATTCAAAATGAAACCTCTTACTATATAGGACTGGATGCCTCTGGGGTAGATGAAGTGCTGTAGAACCTTTAATCTCTGGATCACCAATTTGATATCTGGCTTGGGTTGGTAGTGATTGAAAGTTGTTACTGCTAGACATGGCTCAGAAACAGATTTTTAAAATGCAATTTTCCCCAGTTTTTAAAAAAATGAAACTACGTAGACTAGCTCTATGTTGGTTTAAAAAAAACCTCTGAAAATTGTCTTAATTTTCTTTCCCAAAAATATCCAGAAGTTTGAGGAGGACAGAGGGTCAAACAAGGCAAAATATGCATGTTGAATGTAAACACTCAATTGGGGCTAGATTCACTTCAGTGAACCCTTGGACTTCAGTGGGACCACTCACATGGGTAAATTCTCTTTTGGGTGAGTGAGTGTTCCCACAGTAAAATAAAGCAGAGAATTTGACTGTGGTATTTCTTTTCAGAGAAGTCTTATTTACACTGAATATTTAAAATAACTTCGCTACAATAAAAACACTTTCCTTTTTACCTGCCTCTTACCTCAGAACAATTTTGTTTAGCAAGAGCTCCATCAAGATACGTTGTAGGGTATTACTCTGTAGTTTGCACGATTACTTAATTCCTCATATAAATCCCAGAATAGACGCTAGAAAAAAAAATAGTGGCTTACAGGACTAACAAAGGTTTCCCATATTGAGGTTTACATTGAAGGATTACTTTCTCATTCAATAATATTGCATTTGATTACAAATTATAAAAAGGGAATTAATTAATTTACAATAGGTACCTAAAAGAACCTGTCATATTATTCATTGTGAATAATGTATCTGAACAATTTAGTCCTTATTCCTTTTTGTACGTTGTCTACAAACTGTTAATCGATTTTGTACATTGGCTCATTTTTTTGCAATTGCTCACTGACCAGTTTTGTGAAGTTTTATTTGCAGACTCGTCTCTGAGTATTTGGTATTATTTGCATGGCTTGTTTATTCCTGTAAGTCCCCTGCTTTTCTTTTCCATCCCTGCATGAATGGCTTCAGTTTTGTAAACAAAAATCACACTTCCTCCCCTCTTTTTGTCCACAAATTATCCTTAAACATTCTGAATTGTTTACCGAATCTATTGTGTGAATAATTAAAAGAGCTGTTCAGAATAGTCACAGGATCCTTTGCATTGTGAATGCTCTTGCAAATATATATTCATGGTGGTATTTGAAATGGTTTTGCTCTCCTCTACCACCACTTTTTGTGAATAAAAACACAAATTTCATTAATTCATAAATAAAAGTGGGCACGGATTGGTGAGTGTTATGTGCAAGAATATTAAACCAATACTTCCTAGCGATATTTCCTTAGGTCTAAAGCAGTGATTAATTAAACCCACAGGAGAATAATCTCTTCTTTGATTCACACAATATTGATTTCTGTTACATATCTTCAGTCTTGCCCCAGGGTGAGCATCCTTTTCAACATGTGTCTTCCATTTGCTACCACAGTTATTTTAATCTTAAATAAATCATTAAACCATCTTGACACTTTGGAAGAGGTGGACAGTTAATGAACTGATACTAAAATTGCAATCTAATCATGTCCATAGACACTCACCAGACTTTATATTTTATTATAGATTACAAGGAGCAGGTTCTTACCTGATTTACACCCTGATGGATTGCAGATGAATTGCAAGCAGAATTTGGCCCTAATTTAACAAACCTTATTCTATTCATCTGCAAATCTCTTGCAGCTCAATCACTTTTTTCTTTTTTAAATCTATTATTTTTCTTTTGACCCAACACTAGGATTACAGGGATTAAAAGGGTCACAAGGTCCCCCAGGAAAGATGGGCCCTGCTGGACAAGTAGGAGGAAAGGGCTCACTAGGAGAAAAAGGCACAAAAGGAGATATTGGAGATAGAGGTAAGAGCTATGATGATTTTGATTGGGAAGGTTAATGTGATCACTAGCCATTAACCATCTGAAAAAAGCTTAAAAGAACTGGAATTAAGCAGAACTGAAAGTAAACATGTTTACTCCAACTAAATTAATCTTAATAGTGGACCTTCGAGTACCTAAGATACATGATCTATGGGTTTATAACTACTACTATTGGGATAAAAACTGAACAAAAGTAAATTTAGGTTAAATATCCAAATATATGTATGTATACAGTATTGGAACAATCCTATACTGCCCCAGGGGATAGAGAAAATCTCCTGATAGTAGAGATGAGCCTATGCCATAAAGTTTGGATGTAGGGCTTAGTTTGGGCCTTATAGTAAAACTGTGTAAAGACCAGTGGCTTAGCTTCACAGGAATTTGAACAAAGCATTTATCTAGCCTTGATCCTTGTACCTTCTCATCCAAAAATATTTTACTTTCAATTTCAACCAGTTTTGTAACAAAATTGCAAATTTCACATGATTTTCAGACAAAATTATAAATGAGGCTATGGCGTGTTCATTCAGTACTAATCTAGGTACATGTGAAATTTATTGAACTTTTCAGTGAACCTGGTCTTCGTTTTGTGTTCATCTTCAGAGAGGATATCAAATGAGTTTTGTAGTGTTTCACTGCAAACATTTCATATGGGTCCTACCAAACAGGGCTTTCCTTTTTTTTAGTTTATAGCATTTTAAAAAATGAATAAAAATGACTTTGCATACTCAGAATTCAGATGAACAGAACTCTTTAAAACAGATTTTATCTTTGTCATAATTCTCTAATTTCAAACAGAACTCCCTTTCCTTGGAAAAAATGAGTGGGTCAAGGATTTTGCACCAAAAAGAGCAATCTAATTTTGATTATTGAATTGGCTACTGATTGTATGTTATCACATTCCTGGTCATCACTCTCAACCTGTTCATCTCAATTTGTTGCCCATACACAAAGTTGCAACCAGTCAGGCATTATTAAAAAAAAAAAGAATGGATCTTTCCAAGCAGGGACAGTAGTTTTAATAGGGTTATGATATAAATGAACATTTCATGCATTTCCCTTTCACCCTGTTTCATCAGGATTACAAGGAGTCCCAGGTCTGAAGGGTAACCCAGGCAATGCGGGCCCTTCTGGGCCAAAAGGGGATAAAGGTTCACCAGGTGAAAAAGGAGTAAAAGGGGAGGGAGGTAAGTGGTGTCGTTAGACTGAACTGTGCACAGTGATTCTTTCCAATCTAATGGTGCTGTACAGTATTCAAAAATAGATATTGTGGGTTATTGTGCACTTGGACATGTGCAATTTTCTTTAACTTTCTCTAATTTCTATATGATGTGGGAATTATACAAGTCGCAATTGAATCATCTAGCTGGGATGGAATAGTTTGACTGTGCACCAAAAAGCAGTAGGAATTTTCCCTCTGATATTTATAATCTGTTACATGATGGTGCTAGATTTCAAAATCCACACACTCCTCAAGTCTCCCTGTGCATTCACTCAGAGTCTATCATCAAGTAACTGGCAAAGCCCAGAATTATTCCCATCAGGAGACTCACTGAGAATAAAATTGCTGGGCTTGAACATCTCATTCCCTTCATCACTCCCTAGGCCTGCCAGGAACTACAGGTTCACGGGGCCAGCCAGGAATCTCAGGCTCCCCTGGGCCAAAAGGGGACAAAGGTTCAGTAGGTGAAAAGGGAGCAAAAGGAGACAAAGGAGACAAAGGTAAGTGATGTAGACAGGCTTGATTTCTGCATTGCAAAGATTGCTTCCAATTTAACAATTTCTCTTCTGCTGCAAATTTCCACAGCTCCATTGCCTCCATTTACCCTGGCCGAGAACTTGTCCCGTAGACTTAGGAGATAGTGACGGACACAAGTTGAAAGGGTTCAAGATTCCATTTAGTTAAATACAAAGCCAAAGGCTGTACACTTATCTGAAGCATAACCAAATCTCCTTTGCCCTAGAAATCAGGACTCAGCTCTTGGAAATACAGCCTCTCTAATGAAATTCATGGAATTCTTAGTTCTAACCGATTGAAAACTACTGAGTAAGTAGCTTGCTTTTTTCCAGAATTTCAGTATTTCAGTGTTTCCATGTTTAACCAATGCCAGTTAGGGCTTAACTACACAGGGAAATTGGCCGGCATAATAATAGTGGAATAGATATATTGCGCTGTAGCTTTATTGGTCAATTTCCCCATGTAGACAAGCCCTTAGTGTAGTTAGGAGTACAAAAATAAGCATTCCCAGAAAGTTAAACTAACTTTCCTGACAGTAAACCAATCCTTAATTTAAGTTCAAATAAGGACATATCTTATCTAAACTAGTTTCATCACCCCACAGTACATGAATTGCTAAATCTTAACAGAACTTCTATTTGTATTTACCTGCAATCGCTACATGATGTCAGAATTATGTAAGTCTTAATAAAATCGCTTTATCTTTGATAAGACAGTCTAGTATTCCTAAGTAATCTGATATTCATCATTTAGATTTAATGGGTATTAGATGGTGGAGTTACATCTACCATTATTAGATGCACTCTTCACATTTCTCTGTGCAATTGTTGCTCAGGCAGAGTATCATCAAGCAAACGGCAAAGAGCATATATGTCAATACTGTAAATATAATTCTTAATAGTGATATAGTGCTTTGCGTTTTCAAAGTGCTTTACAAATATTAATCACTAATATCAATTAATTAGTTAATTAATTAATTAGTAAGGCATTTGATATGGTCTCACATGATATTCTTATCGATAAACTAGGAAAATACAATTTAGATGGGGCTACTATAAGGTGGGTGCATAACTGGCTGGATAACCATACTCAGAGAGTTGTTATTAATGGTTCCCAATCCTGCTGGAAAGGCATAACGAGTGGGGTACCGCAGGGGTCTGTTTTGGGACTGGCTCTGTTCAATATCTTCATCAACTACTTAGATATTAAGCAATAGAGGGTCCTGTGGCACCTTTGAG